TAAACAAAATTCAAAGGAAATTTGACATCCATTCAACTCAAAGCTGCAGGAAAACACAAACTGTTTTTTTTTTATTACCATAACTACATAAACAGTTTATTCAGTTCATGTTATTTATACACAAGAACAAGAAGGCACAGCATCAAACCTTCTGGAACACACATGACAACTGGAAACCAATTTACATTTCTCAGTCCTTTTCATATTTTGTCTTCATACAAACACAAACGTTAAAATATGTTTTCATGGAGCTCAATAACAACAGAATATATTTTAATGAAGAGGATGGAGGAAAAGCTTCTTTTTGTCCTTTTTATCAGTTTAAATCTGAATTGTTGAATTTAGTTGCAGGGTTGGTATGTAAGACATCTTACCACTGTTTTAAACCCTTTAAGTCATCACCTGAAAAGGGGAATGAGTGGGTGGATGATCAGAGATTCATGGTTTTGGTGAGAAAATCTGCAAGACAAATAGTCTTGCACTTCCATAATCTCATCTTTATGGGAGAGGAGCAAACAATAGAAGACATGCTTGATTAATCACAGGCCATGTAGTACACTGCATACTGATGTATGTTGTTGGGGTGATTTTCTTCAGCAAGGGATGCCAGGCAGATGGATGGAGTACAGTAGAGGCTTAATTCTGGAAGAAACTTTTTTTTGCAAATGATGCAAAACGTGAGACAAGGGAGGGAGGGTTCATGTTCATGCAGGAACACAAACCTTTAATGTAAAGGTTTTAATTAAAATATATGCATGTGTTAGAATGGGCCAGACAAAGGCTAGGCATAAATCCTACTGAGAACCAAGGGAAACTCTTAAAAAGATCTCAGCATGAAGATGTGCAAAGCTGGTGGAGACCCCTATAGACTTGCACATATCATTGCAGCTATAGGTTTCTCTGTAAGATGTTGATCCAAGGAGACAATACAAATGCACGCCTTCTTGCTCAGATTTCTGTTTGTTCAAACAGTTTTTAAATAAAACATGTATCTTTTTTTGTTTGTCATCTGTAAAATACAACAAAGTATTAAACGAAAATGTGACAAAGCTGTGAAAAGGTCAGGGGAATATAAATACTTGTGCAAGGCATTAAATAATACAACACTGTCACATCCAGTTGATGACAGGACAGAACAGATTTTTCAGATCTTTACTTCCTCCAGGAAGAAACCTCCAATAACCCCAAGTTTAGTCGGCCTTATTGGCTGGGAAAGAAGCACAGAAGCACAGAGCCAGACATATAAATCATACAGCAAACAAAAAACAAAGGCACTGGCAGCAAAAACTGCAAATTGGGAGAGCAAAGATCAGTAACAGTTAAGCCTTAAAATAGCTGTGTATTTACAGCGACAGCTCTGGATTACCCAAACCACCACTAAATTAAACTGGTTAGAAAAAGAGACATTATTATGTCTACTTTTAGAAGTAGAAGGGTTGTCTGCCTCTGGGTCAAAAACTGGGGGTTTATAGTTTGAGAGTAAAGCAGACAGATACTAAGAAGATCAAAAAACAAAAGAAAAAAAACAAAATGGTAACAGAAATAACTTTAATCTGACAAAAGTAATGATAAAAAAAAATGTCTATGACATCACATGTGTCTATAATCTTGCAATCTGTCAGTGGAGTCTTCATCACTTGTTACATTCAGATCTTACAGAAGTTTTAATCTTCAGACCAGTACCTCTGAAAATCAGATTGCTCAGTATGTCAACGTGTTTGAATGGCTTTAAATTGGCCACAGTTAATAAAGTAAACATTCTTTTGTTTTTTTGGCCATGACATGCCATTTAAATCACAAACTGCATTTAATTTTTTTTTTTTTTTTTTTTTCACCTCCAGTTATAGCCAAAATTAGAGATTTACTGAAAAACTGGTCTATGCATTTGTTACTTCAAGGCTAAACTTTTGTAATTCTTTAAAAAATGTAGTTATCAGCCTTCAAACTGATAAAAAACTCTTCAAGAAGATTTCTGATCAAAGTCAGAAAGAAAGAGTGTATTTCTTCTGTTTTAGCTTCTCTTCATTGGTTTCCTGTTAAATCAGGAATATGATTTCTAACCCTTCTCATATATAAAGCCTCAAAGAACAAAAGTAAAAAGTCCTCTTGGATCTATTTTCACTGAAAGCAGACGATTTCTATCTTCATTAGGTTATAGCAGATGGCTGTTCTTCTTGAGGTTTCTTCCTGTTAAAATTTAGTTTTTCTCTTCACTGTTGCTACATGCATACTTGGTATGAGGGATTGCTGCATGGTCAAAAACAGAATACATGCTTAATGCTCATTTATCAGAAAAATCCTGCAAGTCAATGACTGAATGAAATCTGCTGTTTCCGAAGATAGAAAATACTTGAAACAATATGAATGTTAACAGTTTGATAACTAGGGTTAATTTGGAATATGTTTACCTGACTGAGAAACTGTAAGAATCGAGTGACTGCTTGTTATTTTTTGTTAAATTCCTTGAAAAATTTCTTGCGAATTGTTGCTATATAAATAAACGTAACTGAGTTGTTGAGAGAAACTAGAGTTTGGAAGTGTTGGAGTTTATCTGTTCAACAACAAAGCAAACCAAAGCAGATCTGTCAGCTTTGTCTGTTTAACACAATGGAAAAATGAAGTGGAAAAAATAGTCAAACTCTATATAAATACTTTTCCTGCTTTGTAATCCAGGTTTAGTGATTCTCATTACTGTATATATTTTTACTGCTGTAAACCTTTCACTGTTGGATATAAGCATCAGTCTTTACAGTGTGACAAATGATCAGATGTAACAAACTCCATCTCACCAGAGAAAAAAAAAACAGATAAAAATAAACAATGTGCAAACATTGGGAGGAGATGGGAAATGTCTTTTTTTTTTTATAAAAGAGAAAAGGGTAGCAGAGAGGTGTGTGGAACAGCCTTTCGGTTAGGGGGAATACATTTTTTAAGAGATTATATTTTACAATTAATACAAAACATTTAGAGTTATTATAATTATTACACAGGAAGTTTAGGCTAGTTGCTATAAAAAAAACTCATTACCTTCTATTAAGGCCTCATTACTCAAATATGGGGTTATAAAGTTAAAGCATCTTTTAAACCAATAAACTTAAAGGAAAGTTCTTTGACAAAACTAGAGCAAAAAAGAAAAAAAAAACCCGACAAATTAATACCTTGGCTCTCGAGTTAAATGTTGAGCTCTTTAATGAATAAAAATGTAACACCTGCAGATATATATTGTTTTTGGAGGTTAGTAAGGATATATATACAGTTTTTAATTCAATAATAATAATAATTTATCATGAACAGTTTGAACATTTCCTCTTCACTTTCAATGGACAAATCCTGCATGCTCCTTTTTTAGTATCTAAAAAAAATCCAGAGAAATACTAATGTGAAATGAATTACAAAATCAACTTTATTGCTTATTCACACATTTTCTTTCTACAATCAGTATTGTGCATGAGGAATGTGAATAACTGTGCTTTAGATGTGGGGATTTCTTAGAAATCAAAATTAAAGAATGTTTGTCAGCTATATTTTATATCGACCAGCTTAGAAGCAACAAGATCTGTGCATTTATAAATAAATAATACCAGTTGATAAACCCTTTTAGGCAACACTGACGCCTGGTGGTCAAGCAGCAGTAATACAACTAGAACCCAGATGCTTCCATCAGGTTCAGAACTAAAGATGCTGAGCAACGCAGAAGTTGATCTGCTCTAATGATTGATGCACTAGAAACTTATGTCACTTGTCTAATGTGATTTTAAATAACCAGTTTATCTACGTATGAATAAACCTCCAAGATTAATTAGGGCTTTATTTAAAATATATACTACTTTGCAATATAGGAAACTGGAGTACACATGCCTATGTATTTTAATAAATCACAGCATCATTTATTTTTTTTTCATATAAGTATATCATTTTTTACTCAGGGGAAAGAGATGCTAAAATATACTTCTAGCATTTAAGACTAATAATTATGGCTTACATTGAATAAAACTAAACAGTTCCTTTGGTCAGTCAAACATAACTAAAGACCAATTTAATTCTATTTTAATGAGATGCACAAGCTCAAATTATGGGATTTTAATACACATTAGGTTAAATAAGAAACATCTTGAAAGAAGTGGCACACATTTGTAGAAAAGATTTGTCCCCCAAACAGAATGGCTTATTTATTACTGTTAAGATAGTGTCAGATCTAAATATTCCAATATCAAAGATTATTTGGGTAATAAATATTTCAAAAATGGAATTTAAATGATCTACTAAAAAAAAAAAAATAGATAATTGAAAAAAAAAAATGTGGAAGTAGCAATTGGCACAACTTTAGGTAGTGAAGAAAATCAGTATTTGAATATCCTGCACTGTGAGATAGTCTCTCACAGTCGATATGCACCTAAAAAAACAATTTCAGATCCCTCCTTGAACTCTAAGTGGGAGAACTTGCAAAATAGCAGGATGTTCAGTACTTATTTTCCTCACTATATTTGCTTACGTGGAACAAGCCGTATACATCATGACGCATTGTTTACAAAAGTCTGAAGCCATAGTGGAGAGTTTTTAAGAGCACTGAGGTCACATTACAGCTTCTTGATTATGTTTAAATTTACTTTGACTAGGCCTTTCAAAAACTTAACATTTTTTCTTCTCTCATCCGCTTCTACTTCATGTTGTCAGACAGGTACTATTCAAGAGTGTTTTGTTTTATTCTTCTATCACTAGGTCTGCTGATAACGACACTATCCATTTTAATTTAAAATCAACTTTGCTTGTTAAGGATTTTCATTACATAATAACCAATGGTGGAAATTACATTTTCACACAGGAACAACTGTAAATATGAAGGAACAAATCTTAAAGGCATTGTTTTTAAAACAGCATTTTTACAAAGAGCTTTAAGAAAATTGTGCCTACATGTAACTTGTGACATTAGCGTCATAATGAATTAAAAAATGTCCCTTTTCAACACAAACTGTCACAGTAAATAAAGACAGAGAATTATCTTAGCTTTTACAGTTTTTATTGTTGCTGGAGGCTCTAATACAATATGAATCATAAGCTTTACAAAAAAAAACAAAAAACCCTAAAGATTCCCCTCCAAAATGGAAACAAATGTTTCCACTGAGACAAAGAAACTGTGACCCCCAACAAAAATCAGTAGATGGAAAGAGAGAGAGAGAGGAACTAAACCAAGGGGTAGGAAACTGTCATGTTTTCTCTGTGCATGTAGGTGTGGGGTGTTATAACAGTCCATCTCCATTGCTTCCACACAGGCTCACACGCATGCAGAAAGAATCAAACTAAGTGTACTGGATGTGCAGAAAGAAAGGCCGCCCTCATGTTTACATCCCTTGGAAGGCTGATAGATATATGTTGACAGTTATAATTCTATACAAATATATCGGGGGAAGAGTCGTAGACAAAATAGGTGCAGGAGGTGAATCCGATGAGTATAAAGATACCACCGCCAAACTTACAGCAACTACAGCTCAGTCTGTGTTCAGAGTCACTTTGTTTTTTTTTTTCAAACCATGGATAATTTTTTACAAGGAATCCTCACACTCTGGATTATTGTTAACCGTGGTAATACTATCATCATAAGATGGGAGACAGAGAGACGGAGCATGACTGAATGGCTTCATGGCAGATGAGATTCACAGAAACATAAGACAAAAAAAACAAAAAAAAAATAACATAAAAAGCAAAGCATTTTTCCTTTTTGTTTTCAACAAATAAGAGTGCAGCACTGAAAACTGGTATGGGGGGGCAAAAAGTAACTGAGAAGATGGCAGAGATGACATGGACAGAGGGTGAGAGGAGAACCGACAGTAGCTTCTCTAGCCGTTGTGTTTGCGTTTGAGTGCCTCCATTAAGTCTGCATTCAGAGCCGCCTGCTGCTTCTTGTCAGCCTGACTCTGAACACTCCTGTGCAGAAAGGAAGAGAGGAAAGGGTGTCAGAATCAGCAAAAATAACCCATCTAAACATTAGGAGAGACGAGTTCCTCCATAACACAGACATGCTCAGTGTGCAAGTTAGGTAGGAAAATAAAGGTTAGTTATAATCCAACTACTCCTCTAAAGGAAGGGTGGGGATATGGAGTATGTAGAGGTGTATTCAAACGTGTTTTACTTCTCGCTTTGGTTTATCTTTTACAGGGTTAAGGATGATCACATATTGACAAAATTTTGAAACTGTGGAATGGATTCACATCTTTAAATTTATTGTAATTTTCAAAACTTTAGATCCAGACTTATATTTAGATCTTATGTAGAAAGGGGCACAGTGGAAAAAAAAATCTAAATCTAGATAAGTCCTTTTACCCTTAAAATAAGTGCATTTATTTCTAGATTGAGGAGGTAAAGACACACTTTGCAAATGGAACAAGACAATTTACACTTCAAATAAGAAAACACAGCTGCATTGTCTTATTTCAAGTGCATATTATCCAATTATGTTATTCTTGAGTAAAAATACTCATTCAATTGGCAAACTATCTCATTTACCTACTCAAATTAAGGGTGAATACACTTAATTTAAGACATTTTTACTTATTTCTAGATCATTTTTCCAGTGCAGAGTGTCCCTCAGCAACATGGATGCACAGCTTTAATAGCAGTCCAATATTATTGTGGTTGGATACTACCGGTAGCTAGATTAGGCACACTAGACTTTAAAGCATAGCCTAGATATTCTTAGGGAATCTTAAGTCCGGGGCAAATCTAGAAATGCCATAAGTGATGTAACCGATTTTTAAACCAGCTTTTCGTCTGGGATTTTTAATACCTTTAAGATGAGTGAAATTTACCCTCATCTACATGGAGTCAAAATGGCTGAGCCGATTGATCGAAACCATGACTAAAGGAGTCCATATAAAGGCTTTGAAAGACCAATGTTTGAACTGTTAAGCATGGTGTTGGGAAGTCATACTGAGGGACTGCAAGAAGTGGGTTGAAGAATGGAGAAGAACAAACTCCCAACGATTGACAAAGGTTATTGTACTGAAAATATCTAGAATGTTCTTAACAGCTAGATGTGTAGACAAAGACACAAAGAGAAGAGGATGAATTTTGTCAAATACTGATTCTGAATATGAAACTTGTTGATGTGAATTACAACTCATTAAAAATAGTCTTACTAAACATTAGCATAGCCGTATGCGTTTATTCTACCCTGTATGTAGAGGTTTAACTTTGCAGATTAGATGAAGCGGTAGGACATCAGAAGAACTTAACTGGGATATTTAACAATTTCATGAGATCCATTACAAAAAGTCCACTAATAAGTTTTAATTTGATAATAAAGGTCCGCTCTGAGATTTAACATCACAGCCAATGTTAATATAAACCAAAGACCATCCAACAAACATTGCTGGCCTGCAGATTTTTAAGCATGGCCGTCGCATCACAATGAAAAAGCAAAAACCGATAATGCAGTATCTGATTTCATAGGTTGTGCAAGTTTAAATTAATTTTTATTTTTTTTTCAAATGCACTAAAAAGTTTGTTGCAACGTGTAAAAAAAAGGCTGAAATGCTTCAACTAAAGCCGACAAATATAAAAATAAAAGCCATGATGAGTGCATTAAACACGTGAACTCCACTGTATACGCAAAGAACAGTGAAGAACATAACACTGCTGGGGTTACATGTCATCACACTGCGGACATCTTTATGTAGAATCTGTCCTTCCTAATTATTTACTGGAACGAAACCTCTGAAAATTCTTCATTTTAGTCAGGTTGGTTTGTTTGGCCAGACTAAGTTCTTCAGTATGACTAAAAACACATTGATGTTACATGAGAAACCACAGATTGATTCATTTAACACTCCAGCACGGTTAGTGTGTTACCGAGACCATCTGTTAGACGTGCCTTCACAACATGCCTCACAAATCTTTTTTGTCTTGATCCCCGTATGCTAGGCATGCAAGTCTGTTGTAATGGCAGCAGTGCCAAGGAGAAAAACAATGGCTATTTATTTAGAGATAAAGGGTGCTGTCTGGTAGGATTATTTTAGTTTCTCTGTTCTAAACAATCCTGGCAAAAGAGGTCTGTCAAAGTTTCCTGATTGGCTGTTGTTTTACAGTTAGGACTTCACCTCACGCTGCAGGTTGAGTCAATCGTCAATTAGTTTCACACAGAAACACTTGGCCATGCCAGGGGTGTACCTCGGACCCTAGTCAATGAAGATCTGACGCTGAGTGAGGACCTGCGACAGCTCCCTCTGGAGCTGCCGGTACTTTTGATTATCGGGCAAAGACTCGATAGATCTGGAGCACAGAGGAGAGGCAGTGGGAGAGGAGAGGAAAGGTGGCGGATAAGAAAAGGGCTTTAAAGCCAGAAAACAGGTCTGCTGGGAGAGTTTGAGGATGGAATCAGAAGCACTGCAGATAAAGTCATTAAGTATCGCGCATAAACACAAAGCAATGGCAAATGATCCGATGTTCAGCAGCTCGCTGTGGAAGTGATTCAATAGTTACACCAGAGCTGCAGACTGCTGGAGCTGAAAAAAAGTGTATTAAGTCATAAGGACAACTGGCGTGGTCGTACCTTAGGCCGTTAACGATATCCTTGGTCTTCCCAAAGTAGATTTCATTCAGTGTGGAACGAATCTTGTTCTCCATATCCTGAAACAGCACAAAAACAGCCAATTACATGTAGGGGTGTGGGAAATAATCGTATTGGCGATATATCGTGATATTCGGCTGCCCAATATAATATTGATATTTCACTTTTTAGTATCGATTTTTAAAAAAAAAATA